CTTAGCCTCATTTATTTCAACGATTTAATTTTGTTCACAAATTAGCTCTTGCTTACTTAGTAGCCGTTGGTAAAGTAAGTAAAATTATTATGATAAATAAATGTGCAATAATACTTTAAAACAAATTTAAGTAAATACGATGAAATGATAACTGTTCTATTTTGACTTCTCTTATCATTCGTACTGGTATGTTACTTAATATGATTTTATTTTGAACATTACCTTCGTTGATTTATATGATATGCTAACTTCCCACGAAGTTAAATGAACGACGAAAGTGTCAAAAATTACCTTTCGAATGGTTAGGTTCGCTTTTGTCGTTCATTTGCAGCCTTACCGTTAGAATTACAAAAAAAATGTATCAGAACTTTCTTGTAGAGAATTTTCCATTCTACATTTTTTGTTGGAAACATTTTTTCATCAGATGAGAATTTTTCAAAATAAATACAAAAAACTCTAAGAAATCACGATTTTCTGCTGTTTTTCCAAAATAGCAGCTCAGATATGTCCGACCGCCGATTTTTATGATCATATTCGTATTCAGGAGGCAAAAATACATCGAAAACATGTCCCGAATATTTTTTTTGAGGTGACGTAGTAATTGTAAAGTTTTACCGCAATAAGTATTCATACATCATTAATAATTTCATAATTACAGGTATTTTGTTGGTGTTTTGTAAACTTAGATGAACAATTGATAAATATATTAATAGAACATTTTATGTATACATAACTTACATTATTTACAAACGTTTACCAAGTGGTATATTCGTGTCTAATTTCTTTCTTAATAATCATACTAGTTTGTTAATTACTGATATCAAATTTTTACAAAACTTTTCAAACTCATGACACTCGATTTATAACACTTTAAAAGCAATAATATTAAGTTTATACTTTATTAATTTTTTTCGTTGAAACATTTGCTCGTTATGCTTTAAACAAGCTGGAAAAGGAAACTGGAAAATAACCTTACATGCAAAGTACTATTAGTACAATTTTACAAAAATAACAAAGATGTAATTCATTAAATACTACAGCTAAACCTTCTGCCGAATAATAGCACATATAAAATGAGAATTTTTAACGCTTCTTCAGTTGCAAAAAGCAAATAAATCTAAATGAAACGTGGACAGCAAGGGAATTAAAATAAACATCTTCAAGCTAACGAATATATGTCCTCGCATGGGCGAGGTCATGGAACACTGTAATAAAGCCATAACACCTATAAAAAGGTCTTTATGAATCATAATATTTCTCTGCAATACTCATTTTTTAGTATCAACTGTAAAGTACAAGCGAAATGGTGTTTTAGTCAATCGCCATTTTCTTTAGAAGTTGCAGAAAAATGGCGGTCAATTCTTTTATTTAGAAACGAAAAGTTCACTCTTTCAAATGGAAGCTACTAATTTTAGCTACTGCAAGGGATTTCATGATTTTTAAATTTACACAATTTTAACATTTTTATTAAATGTGCGTTCTTTCGTTAAAATATAATTATCTAAAAAATTGGTGACAATTTATTTTAGTTTATTAACTAATTAGGATTTACACTGATATAGTAATTTTTGTAAATAATTACATTTCCGGAACCAACATTTTTCGAAATCGTGCATTGATGCTATGGTAGATGTAATGTAATTAATTTTAGCGAATTTTAGTTGACTTTAAATGCGAATCATAGAAAACCCGAAAGCTAGTACAATTAATTCTGTATTACAAAACATCCAACTTTTAAGTTTAAAAGATCGTGAAAATCGACTTTTGATTACCAAGAGTTAAATTCATTACCCATGATTAGTGACTGATACTACGAATTTACATAATTCAATCAACTAATTAACCAATAAGAACTATAGAATAATTTTAAATACTATTAAAATGATGCTAATACTTTCTAAAATTAAATGCACGAATTATAACAGTATACATATATGAGATTATAATTCGAATTTTTTACTTTTTAAGGGAGCAAGTAAGTTTTGAAAAATAAAAAAGGTAGATAATTATTTTACACAATATGTAGCAATTTCATATAAATCAATATTGCTAAACTTTGATATAATTATCTTACAAGTTTATAATTAAGAATTATAAGAGTAGAATAAAATTATTATATAATAATTATATAATTATTATGTATAAAATTAGTACATAGATTATAAAAAATTATACAATCTGATTAATGTACATATTTAGAGTTATATTTTAAATGACATTAATATTTAATTTTTAGTCCTTTAGTATATTTAGTATATTTAGTATATTTAGTAATTTTTTATTTTAAAATACCTGCTCATTACTGTAAGAAATGTATCTCACAACTAAATAAATTATGTCAAGCAAATTCTTTCTTCGAGGGAAGTAGAAATTTAATTTGTACATATTAGCGAATAGAAATCAGAACTGTAAACTAAAAAATTATTAATGTTATGTCTTTCATATCATTGTTTTAAATATAATTGTTGAGCTTATGAATATTATAATACATAAAATATATATCTTACAAACCACTGAAAATCTTGATTTATAACTTGTTCTTCTTGGAGAAAGAAGAATAAACTGATATAAATATCATTATAAGTGGATAAATTAATATACATGTATTTTAAAGATAATATTGTAGTTTTAAAAATATAAAACTATATGTGGAAGGTAATAAAATTACTAGTTAATTGTAGAAGGAATAAGATTACTCTTTTTTAGCTCATTTATAATTGATATTAATAACATATTATTGACGCCATTTTTCAACTCGTTTATTTTAGTTATAAACAGAAATCCTGGAAATGAAGTTTAACCAAGGAAACAAATGATAATGCTGCATAATATTATTGTTTAATATAATTATTTCCTGAAATATAATTGACATTCATGATTCATATCGAATAGAACTCCAGCTTTATTTTTTGTAATTTTATATAAAATCAAACTGCAATAATAAACCTTAAAATATAATGTAATATCATTTAATTGTTAAGAACATCAAAGCTGAGAAATAATTACATAACCTTAAAATCTCATTTTCAGAAGCTTTATGTAAATATGAATATAGTTTTATATATATATATATATTTTTTTTATTATTGAAAAGTAAATACTTAAAAAGTAATTGTACAAATTTGTAATTAAAGAAGAAATCAATGCAGTTTAAAACGAATGTCTGTATTAGATCTGCATAAGTTGTGTGTTATATCTTACAAGCAGTATCGGTAAAATCGTTTCCTATTATTTAGATAAAATCTAATTTAATCTAATTTCAGTTAAAAATAATAGTATATGTGACAATTAATTGTTTGACACAAATAGTTTATACAACACTAAAAATGATTCTTTTGTTTTATTTAGTTTGAAAAAAATTAATAAAATCAAAATAAAGTTGTTTAAACTTATTTAAACTTATTTGTTTAAAAAATTATAAATTTTTATATTAAGTGTACGCGTGTATGTATTTTGTATTTATTGTACAAGTTTTTCTTCAGTAATAAAAAATGAGTTTAAAAAGACAGCATAGTTAATAGAGACCTCCTACTGCGAACAGTAAAAAAGAATATCAAAAAGATCAGTACACAAAAATAAACACGAACTACTTACGCATCGAAATAATTAACTGTAGCTGCCGTTTCGTTAAACAATTCTGCCATTTTTTATCCAATTTCACAACACATATCCAAAAAAATAACAAAAAATCCAGATCCACATAAACTTTCAAACCGTCAAATTTGAAACCATTAATTCACAATGCTTCCGCTGTATGCGCTAAATGTACATTTTATATTTTTCAGCGTAACAGTTCTACCAACATAAAACTTTCAGTTTTATCGTTCATAGCAAAATATTCCTAATGATTCCATAATTTCATTGATTTATATACATTGTGATATAATAATAATAATAAGAATCGGATATAATAATGCATTATTTGTATATAATGTACATAAAACGGTAACATTATCACATAATTGTCTCTATCCACAAGACATAAATGACATTCTGCATATTGAATATTTAACTATCATTCACTCCAGTATCTGTTCAATAGTAAGATTACTATATTACAAATTGGAGGTACACTTTGTATTGTTGTATTACATTGCAATCCATTTCCATGTAGTTATTTAAATTTCGCGGTAAATTGTTGTGTTATGTCCCCTGAAACAAAGAAATTAACAACAGGTCCACAAACATATATGTAAGCAGATCATACTTATTTTGCGCAATGTGACTAACTTCAGAAGAGTCCCTACCACTCCAGTTTTGTTTTACTACAATACGTTTTCTGTTCTGTCAGTCATATACAAGGTGAACAGAATATATTACATGGTACCTTACTAATTCTATTTAAACGAACAGTATGTACTAGTCTACATATATTTTTGAGGACCGACATTATACTTGTATATATATGTTATTATTTTACTGTTATATTGTTTTATTGCTTTACCATTGCAACTGTTCACTATTTAAATACTTTGTTATTCTTGACTTAGTTATTCTATAATTTTGCTATTCCAGAATTACTAAATTTCTACATTTCCAAATTTTGTATATTTCTATATTCTTCTATAATACTGAATTTTCGATTTCCAAAAAACTTCTTACATTAACAAGTAAACAGTTTCTTCTGCCGTTTATATCATAGTTTCTTTATCACGTTAAAATTAAAGATTAAAGATCTATCTCTTGTGCGACGAAAGGTGCTGAAAACGCGGATGTGCGTCCTTCTATTCAATTTAAAATCATTGCAGCACACAAGATAGGTAACCAAAAATCGTTTTGATCTGAAAGTGTTAACAAAGTCAGATTTGTTCTGGACTGTATATTCGACCATATATGTATTTAACAAGTACTTACTATTCTCATTCAAAATAAGAGACCACTGGGTACGTACATTCGGCGTTAGGAGCGACATAAGAACGCTTGCGCGTTACCCTTGGTTACGAAGCGTGCTTGAACCAATTAGAAGCTTACATGCGCAGAATGAGTAAAAATTCACCGAAAAATGAGTATGATCTCTCACCGAACGAATAATACATACATATGTATCGTGCTTATAGCACTTTAGAAACCAGTACCTACTTACGTGACTAGGCAGTATGGCAGTCGGCTGCTTGTAATGCACGAATCGAGTGTGTATAAAATTATTGTCGCCGTATATCGACTAATGATTTCACCATGACTCAATCAAGTCTTATCATGGTTCAGCATTAAAGAATGAATTATTGGTATATTCTTCTTTTATTCTGCTGTTTTATAATATCGCTTCAATTAGTGGCCACAAAGTCAGCACATTGACATTGACAGGTGGTAGTTGTCATTTTCTGGTCGCGTCGTTGGAGGTTATAGCATCATGTTTGCAACACTAAAGAATAAAATAAGAGAGGAAATAGGGAGTGACGTGTCAACTGTCGTTAGAAATGCCGGCAATGTGCGTGGTATCAATTCAAGGCATATGTCTCAGGTAAACATGCTGTTTCTAGTTATCAAGTGTTATCAGTATGTGAACTGATATCGCGTCTATAAACATGTAACACACTTATGTATAGGTGGTCGTTAATTTCTTATTACAGTTTTACAATGTTATTCATTGCTATTCGTTTTGAAGAAATTTAAATAGTATTTTCAATTAAATATCAATTAATATTTCTACATATGTTTTCCAGACGGTTCATTAATATTGCACATGTTCGTTATCCGGTTTTGTATTATCACAAGTCTTGTTGGCATACTTGCTAAGCCCACATTTTAACATAATTTTCTTCAGTCGTTTTACTCTTTATGCATTTCCTAAGTTTTTACATTTTACAGAAAATAGATTTTAAATTAATTTGTTTTAAATGAAATATATTATTTAAATATCCCAAGTCCAAAGCCTGAGTATATTATTAAATTCAGTTTTCTTAAAGAATAATATTTTACATATTTTCCATGTTAATTTATTTAGCTTTAAATATAATAATGCTGAAAGATTAAGCCCATAGGATATTTTCAAGTTTTTGTACCTTTCATTTATATTATCTAAATTTTAAAAAATATGACTCAATACACTATTACTGTAAGATATACATATGTGTATATAAAATAAAATTTTATTAAATCTGTGTATAAAAAGCTGCCAGTGATATAAATGTTATATAAATTACAAGTAATAATAATGTTTTTATAGACAGGATCCACAAGTAGCATTAGTGGATCTCAACTGTCATTAGATGGTTCTCGCGAAGAAAATGCAGCATCGCCTTCACCACCTATTTCTTTAAAAAAAGATAACAGTTTTGATCTTAAATTAAATGATGGAATGCAACTTTCTGCCAAGGATATTAAAAAATTTGAAAGCAGAGAAGATGAATGGCGGAAAAGATTAGCCAAAAAAGAAGCAGAGTTACTAAAACGAATGGAAAAAAAAGAAGAAGAGTGGAAAGTAAGACTTTTTGAAAAAGAAAGAGAATGGAAAAAAGTTGTTGAAAAGCAAGAAAAAGAGAAAAGCAAATTAGAAGAGGAATTACAAAATATAGAACGCACAAAACATTCATTGGAGTTATCTTTAAAAGATGCTGAAGGTACACATTACATTTTGTAAAGCTAATATATATTGTTTAAAGTAGAAGGAATCGTAGATCTTCAATAAAATACTTTAGTTACTTTATACTATGTATAATTATGTGCTATTAATTATAGGCAAGAAATTCATTTTTAAATTGTTGTTAATAATCATATTTCAGAATATAAAAAGAAGTTATATAGTTTTCAAGAAGATGCAGAGCAGCTAGAAGGTTTCCAAACTCAAGAAATGGCAAAAATAAAACATTTAGTATGTTTAATATAATACATAGATATTTAAAAAAAGCTTCTAAAACATTACTTACATCTTTTATATATGTATTTCTTTTTTAATGAAGTTGTTGGCCAAAGAACAAGAAGTGGAAGAGAAAACGCATCATTTAAAAGCAGCTACTGCAGAAATTGACAATTTAAAAAGTGAAGTTTCTCGCCTAAGGAGATACGAAGATGAGTTGAACAATGTACAGGTGAGTACTTTATTTGACAGTAATTTCATTTGATTTTGAACACTATTTGAAATACACCATGAATTTAAACTTATGTTGATATAATTATGTCAGTATAAATTGCTTAATTACCTTCAGTTGAGTGAATAAACATGGAGCATATTTTAATTTTAGTTAAAAAATATTTATTCGTGTTTTTTTTGTTCACACCTTTTAAAGTGATGATACGAACATCAAAGTGATATCTAGCACAAAGAACTTTTTTGTAAGGTTCAAGTTATTCAATTATTATATTTACATGTATGTATTCTACAGTATTTTATACTTTTACTTACTATTTGTGTGCTTAAAAACACATTATATCTATTAAGAATATGTTATATATAAAGAAACATTAAAGGAATTTTATAATACAGAATTATTACAAAATTATATTAAATAAATACATTATTAAATACATTATTTTGCATCAGATAAAGAGGAATTATATTATTACTTAAACTAAATATTGTTTGAATATTTCTTATAATTAATAGTGATTTATCATTATTTTTATAACTTAGACAAATTTTTATAATGACGAAATTTAGTATCTATAACTTAATTAGAGATAGAATAATTACCTTCGGAGTATATTTCTTATATATGTATTAGAACCTATTTTTCTTATAACAATATTATTTCTACTAAAAGCACATTCATTTCTTCTTTAAATGAATTAATCCTTTTGCATATATTTTTAATGTTGGATTAAATTAAGAGAAGATTAAACTATTTTTTTAAATCTAACATTTTTATATCGTATATTATGCTTCGTATTCATTAATAACATAGATCATTAATTCTTTTTTTTTTTTTTTATAAAAATAGAGCTGCATGAACAGATTAAATCTATTTATTTCTATGACAGTGTTGTTTAAAAAGTTATTTGTTTTTGTAATACTAGTTAAATGTTACACAATTTATTATGAAGTTAATAAACGTATATTTTTTAGACAATAAGCACGCTTTTTTTATAAATTTAAATTTTATTTTGAGGCCTTTCTCTACTTTTTTTATTTATAGCTTTTTGTTTTGTCACTGCTATGTTTTTCTGCACTTTTTTTTGATACTGACACAATACCAAAATCTATTATAAACAATGACTATAAGTGTAGTCAATACTCTATTATTTGATTACTTCGACATTTCAAACATTTTTTAACATGAAACAAATAAGCATATGTTCCATAACTATTACTTATCTTCCTGTTTTTCCAAGTTTTTTCATAGGAAGTATTTACTTCCATTTCATTAGAATTTAATTTGGGAAAAAAGATAAGTATTTTATTATTTATAAACCAGTCATAAATGAGCAGTGATCTTATATTAGTTATGGAACATGAGCAAAACTTAAGTGATATTGAAAGTTTTGTGAAAACAACATACGCATGAAGATTGGAAAACTTTGATAAACGAGAGCATTGGAGATCAGAGTAGGCGGTATTTTCCGCTAATTCGCTGCTGCTACCGCTGACGCTAGAGGTACGTCTTCAAAGCTTTGCTGCTATTCTGCAACATAAATAACTTCCATAGATTTTACTTGTATCAGTGTTGCTGTTTATGTAATTCTCTCCTTGGTGCAAAATTTTATAACATACGAGAAATGCATGTATTAACTAGTCAAAGTGGTTTAATAATAAAAGGATTTCTCATATTACTACAAAATTTCATTTCAAATACCTAAACTATTTTTCTACTGCAGTACTCATACTCCAATGTTGTTACTCTCGTAACAGCGTTGAATAATTAATTTAAAACAATATAACAATGAATTTATACACACTTGTTTTTATAGAATTGAATTCTGTATCGTATTTGTTTTTTAACAAATAATGGAAAACTTCATTTGTTCCTTTGATAAAGAAAAGAAATTTGTCTAACACGATATTTGTTTTTGCTTTTGTTTTGTTTTGTTCATTTTCAGCATTGTTGTTATTTGTCATCTAATTCATCATTATTCGCTTATTCTTGGCTTAGTAAGGTTTGGATTATTTCTAACATTTTATTCATGTTTATGTATTAGCAATGCTTTGGTAAGATTTGCAACAAAGCTTTACAGAGCAGAATTGAATAATAATAGCTAAAAGAAAATATTCATAATAATAACATTGCCCTTTTCAGGATGAAATGGAAACATTACGTCATTCTACTCAACGAGAGAGGGCTCAACTTTCCTGTCAGCTAGCGCAAACTGAAGAAGAAGTACGTCATCTAAAGGATAAAGTTTTTGTGTTAGAACAAAGAATTGCTTTAGAGACTAATGATCAAGTAACTGTTGATGAAAGAATAGCTGATCTTATGAGAGAAAGAGCATTATTAGAAAGGAAGTTAGAGGAAGCACATCTTCATCTGTCTGATATAAAGACTAGTTGGTCAGGGAAAATATCTAGTTTGGAAACACAAGTTGGAAGACTTAGTAGACAAGCTGGTGAGGAAGGTTTAGAAAGAAGACGGGTTGAAGAGGAAAGTGAAAAACTGAAGCAAAGGATCAAGCAGCTAGAAGCTGAAATAGAGGTGAACAATGTTGTCATGGCGACGAAAGACGCCAAGCTTTTGCGCATGGCAGAGGACATCGACGAGATGGCCACGGAACTAAAAGAGCTCCGGGCCAGCGTCGATGATGAGGTGGAAGAGTTTAAGCGACAAATTGTGAGTTACCGCGATATGTAGTCGTGCATGATTTAGATTTTGAAGAAGATGTCCCGTTAGATCTTGAAATGTAAAGAAACGAACATTCCCTGTGTAACGAATGACAAATTTTTAAATGGTCACAGTACTGAATAATAATCTTGAGCTATCACTAATTATTTTTTTAATTTTTTATTGCATTAAGGAGAATCAACACAATAACGGCCTTAAAAATATATTTTTTCTTTTTTACGCATATATGATTAGATATTCAACTTATATAATTTTTTTTTTTTAAACTGATTACGCACTAAATTGTTCCGAACTGTAATCCGCTACGTTTTCAGTTTTCAATACACTGGTCATATGCATTATCTCAAAATTATAATTTTGAGTTAATTTTAAAATATATGAATGTAGTTCTCGTTAAGTGTAGATATTTATTTCATATATTTATTACATATTTACAAAATAGTGTACATTTAAATAAATTGTAAATAGTTTTTGTTTGTATTTTAGATCATTTTTTTTAGAAGAAGACTTCTATGTATAACAAAAACTACGTTTATATACTTTACATTATACATTATTCTTATACATTGTGCTAAAAAAATAAAAGTATATTTTTTGTATATCTAATACATATACTACTTTTTATAAAAATATATAAGTGTTATAAACGTGAACAAAAAAAGATGTGCATATAACATACATGTCAATAAATTTAGAAAAAACAGTGTATTTTTAAGGTCATTGCAGTATTGACTCTCTTAGTCATATTATAATAATGATACGTTATTTCCTTTTTTATGCAAGGTGTTTCAATATATTAAAAGAAAGAAATTGAATTTTTTTATTTTAAATAATGTGCTTTATTTATGCATAGATTAACTGTGATCATGAAAAATTGTATTTATGTTCTATTTTTACTATAGTTTATTTGACTGTTTACTGTAATTGTTTAAACACATTTTAATGATTTTATGAGCAATAATGTTACACTGTAAGTGTAAAATTACTGGGACGAGTATATACGAACGCGTAGAATACATATATCGTGTGTTTAATTTGTAAAAAGAAAACTACATATCGCCTATATACTTGCATGTTTTCTCTAAGATGCTTGACGCTTGACGCACAGAACATTTATTTTATGCATATTTACCAGCACATTCTTTTGTTTATAATTTTTATTTAATGTTATAAGCATGCAGAAACTTACGGTGTACATTATAATTTATTTAAGTCAGCATCATGTACCAATAAACAGAATAACTTTGTCTCAATTTTTGGAATCCTATATTTCCACTTGAGTGCCTTTGTACATGAAAATTTAGGTAGTATCGACATAATGATATTTTTATGTACGATCGCATCTTTGTATATTTTATTTGTGCAATAAAGAAGAAACAAATAAATTACATCGTTTATTGCATTCGTTTTTGTGCTTGTTTTTTTTAAACCCATTTTTATATCCTCCTTTCTCAAGCGGCTTTTTATATATTTACATAAACACAAATTTGTACACGATTGTTTTTCTTTTTTACAGGGTTAACGAATCATATTATATTTTACCACACCAGTGATATTGTTCAATTACGTTTACGTTGCTGTAAATATTAGGAACACGTATCCAGGCGGATGCGATTAAAAGGACACATATCATACATTATTTAGAATAGAGGATAGAATAATTATATAGAAGAATTGAAAATCTTATTGAAAAGTTGTTATAGTAAAAGGTGTTCTAAACTGATTAAATATGAACTAAAATTTGTTGCAGGTTCGAGCTTTGGAATTAATGGCACAAACTAAATTTTACATTCAACTGTTACTACATGATAGCATATTTATGTTTGATTTCCAATTTAAATCTTTCTATTTATGAAAGATACAAGAAATATGTTGTTTCAAACATATTTTATGTTCCCATTATAAGTTTATGTAGCAGGTTATTTTAAATATAAGGAATCATTTGAAAGAATACTTGATTAATAATAATTAATAAGCTTTCACTAAGTTGATAATAACTGGGCAAATCCCATTATTGTAACTAAGATGTCTGTATATAGATAACAAAATAATTTGTAAAAATGTATCACTTGATTAACATTTAACTTAATGTTAATCCAATGCTAGTACGAAGATTGATAAAAAATTTTATGCATCATATTTATTATAACAATAATTGCTCCATGTTAATTTTACTCATGTTACATCTAATTTCAATGCTAAATATCATACAATATTTTATATATTGCTTTCGTATTTGTCAATTTACTAGTGATAAACATTACTTGTACCATAAATTCCAAAGATATGGGTTTTCTGATCACATCTCACAATATATTATTTTCAACATAGAATTGTAGTTGTCATCCTTAATAGTTTTAATATTAGATACCACTCACGTATTTCGTTTTTTCTTTTTTGTCAGGAATCATCTTCTAAGGAAATCTTCCAGCTGAAGGAGAGTCTGTCCGAAGCAACGTCGAAGCTTACAACTGTCACTTCTGAATTGGCACACGTTCGTCTATCTCTGGAAGGTGAACGAACAAATAATTCCTCCTTGCATTTGGAAGTAGCTCGCTTAAGGGAAGATTTAGAGTCGGAACGAACTTCTTCGGCAACCTTAAGGGTGTGCTTAGAGAAGGAGAAAGGTGAAAAAGATTCTGCTTTATTGAGAAATGCTCAAGTTTCTCAGGACATCGAAATTGTAAAACAGGAAAATCGACGCCAAGAAATTGAAAATGCGGAACTACAAAGTAGAATAGAAACTTTAGAACATAATTTACAAAGTAAAAGCAAGGAAATTGAACAAGCAATGGTAACATTAGAAGAAACAAAGAAACGGATGGTGGAGTTGGAAGAAGTGGAACGAAGTAGAGATAAAATGGAGAAAAGCGAGAAGGTTCTTAAAAGTAGTTTAATGGATCTAGAAGAACAACTGAATGAAAAGACCAAGGTAAAATATATGTGTGAAAAAATTCGAGATACTAATTCTACAAGATACTAATCATTAAATGTGGCTACAGACAATCAAGGTATTGCAACAACGGCTAACAGACATGAAGAAGACTCTTCACCGAGAGTTAAGAGTTCCATCTTCGTCACTGGATAGTGATGCTGAACCTTCTGCTGCGATTCTCAAGCCTAGTTCGTCGAAGACAGTCACTGCCAGGCACAACACTACAAGAGATGATGATGTCAACTTCAAATACCTTAAACATGTTCTCATAAAGTTCCTAACAAGTAGGGAATATGAGGTAAATTTAATATCTTATTTCACGATGTCAACTGAAACAGGCATGACCAAGTGTCAACAACTAGATGGTCTTGACAAATTGTTTTTTCGTTCATTATCAGTTTGTCATCATTTACATTATAAATTATTACTTCATGTATACTGTACTTAGATAGGTTGAAGTTAGGTATAATTCGCTGACAAATGTCACTTTCAAATTTCAGTATTGAAAAATTTGGAGTTTGGAAGTTCAGGGATTTTTAGGAATTAGATTTTGAGAAATTTAAGAACTTAGAAAATTAAAAATTTTAAATTTTAAAAGTTCGAAAACTTCTAAATTTCTGATATGAAGCTGTATGCTAGGAATATAAAGTATTAATTATAAATATTTTTTATAGCGCAGTAAGAACGACCAATCGGGCGGATGTGTGATAAAATTTATTTTGTGTTGCGTAGCAAATGAATCATCCGGTATATCTTTCAGATATATGTTTCAACATGGAGAGAACAGGGTTTACAAGTCATTACTTGGTCATGTCTAAATTAGAATATTTAAATAATTATTTCTTTTCTTTTTCCTGTAAGGCTCTTCACTTAACTAGAGCGGTTGCTACTCTTCTACATTTTTCACCGGAAGAGGAACGATTGTTACAAGAAACTTTGGAATGGAAAATGTCGTGGTTTGGTACACGGCCTAATTTAGGTTTCGGACAGACTGCCAAAGCGATACCACCTAGCTGATAGCTGAAACAAATTTCTCTTTCTATAGATATCATAAAAGTGGCCACTAATTCGTGGTTAAAGTCGAAAGATTGGGTTGTGTCGATAATTGATCGCACATGATAAAACATACTTGAAAAATTAGCAAAAGATACAATGATAGGAAAGATTTATAAGCTAGAAGTTTCATAAATTTTGTAATATATTTAGCATTTATAACACGTATATATAATTTATTCTCGAAAGCTATGAGTATCGTCATGGCAAGCTTCGAAGACATGCAGTATATTGTATAACGTCAAACATTATTTAGGTAAAAATTTATAAGTTGAACATACAAGATCTTTAATATTCGCTGTGTGTAATGACATTGAGGGTAAAGAATAGGAGAATGAAAGCATTCGATGCATAATATACACTCGGAAGTGAGTCACGATACGTGTTTATTTCCGTATGCAAATGCTAGAACATACTTAACTTTGCAATATTTAATACGCAAAAATTATATCTAAATTTATTTACATATACGATCGTATAGCGTTGCAAATAATTTGACTTTAATTATCAAGAGGAGTATTTAACTTCCAACTTTGTTATATTAAAATCCTGATGTAATACTTTTATACATGAAAAATATTGTACCATGCATTTTTTACCTTGCCTTTTTTTATGCATAACTGGTCTTAATTGAAGTACATGGGTATAAGTTAAAAAGTGTTGCATCATCGTTCTATGATGTGAGCAACTTAGGAATCGAAAACGTCTAATATTCTTTAATGATGGCTGCAGGTCGGTTATAAATAATAAAGCTTTGTTAATTACGGAGCTAAAATATAATTGCCATAATTATTATTTGTGATATGAACATTGCATTGGTGCCATGTTCATAATTGTAAATAATGCCGTAGTGTTTCTGTAAGAGGTAATTAAAGTACACAAAGCCGAATGATTTTTTAGAAAGAGTAATTTATTTTATTTTTATCTAGTAATGAAGCGAAATGATTGTCACTTTTGTCTGTGGTATTTATTTTCTGATGTTTATGTAATTATTTTAATATTAACAACAAAGTTATATGGACAGTAAACATTTGTAATTATAAGAGAAGAATATTGACATATTGCTGTATCTCAATTAGATAGATAAATGTACATGAAAACAGAATACTTATTTTTCATGTGCAAATTATTCAAGAGCGCGAATATTTTTGTTTATCGACTACTTATTTATTGAAGTATTTTGTGAATTTAAGACTGTACTTAGACTTCGGTATCTAATACTGCAAATTGTTGCAATTATATCGATTTAATAAATTCTAAAAATATTTCGGCTCAATGGAATTCCTTTCATTTATCGTTAAATATTCAAAGACAAGCAAGAAGATCTTTCGAATGTTCAAAACTATTCGGTAAGATTATAGACTACTAAGGAATAAATCAAATTGTTACACATCGTGTAAAGTATAATTATTTATTTACATAAACCTACGTTAGTTTTACTAATTAATAACATACATTACAAGTCGAGAACAATATTTCAGAAATATCAAATTGGTAATTTTATAAAGTACATTTTAACTTTCTTTTTAATTTATAACTGCTTAAGAGTAGATCCGTACGCAGTGTGCTTAAACTTTTAGTCGATTTTTTTTTTTATTTAAAGAAACCTTAAATTAGAAATTTGACTGATAATATAATTTTAAAAATACATCTTTAATTTTACTATACATGAAATACAATTATGCAGTAGTGCTAAATACAAAAATACAAGTGAAATCACTGATAGTATTTCATTAGATGCCTACTTTGAAACGGTAGACTAAAAAGATTGAAAAGAAAATTTGTAAAACACAGATTTTAATTTTACTAATTATCTGTACAAGTTGTTTAGACACTTGGGTAAACGATGATTCATGCTTCTGTTTACTGGGATTTGTTGAAAATTGTTGAAAACAACTAACTACATCTTCATTAAAATCTAGCATAAGAATAGTATATACATGGTGCATTAGTAAAGACAAAACACATGAAGTACATTAGATTACCTAGTATAGTAAACTATTCGTTTAATTTAAATTCCTAAAGTAAAAGTGAACTTTTATTTGATCGAACACTAATTTTTTTCCTTTCAAGAGATTTACATATATAGATCTGTTATCTTTTGATTATGAAGCTAGATTACATTTAACAGTATAATAAATTGAGCTTAACCGCGTTATATTTAATTATTGTGTTCATTAATGTTACTTAGATTCCATTGGTAATTTTATACTACAATAAACGGGATAAGTGCAAATTAAAAAAAAAGTATATAAATACAAATTCCATTAAAATCAATAACAGATTATTGTGACAAGTTTTGTATATTTAAATTAAATACTGCAGACATGCTGTTGGTAATTTGTTTTTTTTTTTTGTTTCTTTTGAATAATCAGAAGTAGAACATGAAAGGACAAAATATGAAATAAAATATCGTTTCTTTTTTTTTTCATCGACAAAAGGTCACCGCAAGTATTAAGTATAACTTTATTCAAACTATAGTTCTATCTTCAGTGCCAATCTTACACTACGATCGATTCGTTCATTTAAATATGTAGAGTATTTATAAAATATACAGGAACATGTCACCATATTCGCTCGTTCTAAGGTTAAGAACTATTGGCGAAATCGAATTCGTCCGATTATTGATGACAGAAATACAACTTCACCCCTACGCAACAAGCTCCCCGTTTCTGAACTTATATCATAAAAATAATCTTACACCAGTTCAAGAAATTTTCGTCTATTTTTTTTTGCGTTATCACATATGTGACGTTATAAAATGTTACGCATTGTATCTACAAGACGCAATGTAATAAGTCATGTTCATATTGTAAAAAAAAAGTTACACGTCTAACTTTTACATCCTCGACACTTAAGACATCGTACATGACGACTAGAACTTCTGCGATCCAGATATAATTTCTTGATAAAGTTCAGGTGTGATTTCGACGTATTCTTTGTTGCCCGATAAGAAATACATCTTGTCTTGAATTTTACTTGGATCGAAGCCTTCCTTTTGTAGGTTCACTTTCTTTAACTTGAATGTTCCCGTCATTTCTAATTCCTTCACGATTCTTAAGAAGATTGGTCTTGCATATGCTGGCAAAGCTTTTTCCAATCCTTCTGCTAAGGCTTTGAAGTCTAAAAGACTATCTGGGTCGACTATCGCTGCCATACCTGCCCTTCCTTCCATTCCAGGTACCTTGAATAATATCAATATACAATTTAGCAAATACTTATTTTGATAAATTAATTTTCATTTGCAAATTCTACGTTAAACAGCTTGGTTAATACATTCAAGCAAATGCATTTATTTTTTATATTGTGAATATTTTACAAATATTTGTGAAATTCTTAAATTCAATTTTTTCGAAAACTAAACATTGTAGGAAAAAATTTCATTCTTTATTTTGGATTTATTTTTTCGTGTAGATACTGTGAGAGCAGTAACATCCTACACAAATCTTATCCATGTCTATTAGGATTGTTTTCTTTTATTTAACGAATAGTATCGATATTTAAAATATCTATTTCTATAATAGTATGACTAGTTAAGATTAGATAATACTATCAGTTAAAAAGATATTTTATTAGTACCAGGCGTTTCTAGAAAAGTTCGATTGATTGATTGTCTATCTTAATTTCACGGTTACACACCTGAACTCCATAAACAGTAGCATCTCGTTGTCCTACGATATTACTAATGACACCCTCCACTTCGGCAGTGGCAACATTTTCACCTTTCCATTTAAACGTATCTCCTACTCTGTCTTTGAAATAAATGTATCCATACTCATCCTCTACCAAAATATCACCTACAAAAGAACCATAAAACATGAGTTTTCTGTAGCAAGAAAAAATTTACGATGTGTCGCAAAAGAAATTAAATTTTGATTTCCCTATCAAAAGTAGGAACAGAACTTCACATCTGAAGACTGATATTTAAACAGTTATAATTGAATTGTCATCTTTTTATATTTGTTCGAAATGCACATAGTTTTAGTATTTAATCAAAATGAGTATTTTCTAATAAAATACTTGATAGTCTTTTTTTTTTATTAAAAAAGTCTAATTTCTTTTGCGACATACCGTGTATAAAAATGTTGGGTTTCAGAGGCGTCTGATAATGTAAATATTTTGTTTCATTTGCGTGGGACTTTGTATTTACAATTCTGTTATCAGTTTTCAAATGTAACTTACCCGTCAAGAACGCCTTATCTCCTTTAACAAACACATCTTGGATTATCTTTCTGTTTGACGCTTCTTGATCTAGGTAGCCATTGAACTCTCTCAGAGCATTACCTTCTTTTATTAAGCCTATGAACATCCCTGGTTCATCTAAATTAGCAACAAAAATTTCTAATTAGTATTTAAATTTACCGCTTAGTAAATAGTAATTATATTTTTACTATACTGGGTGTTCCACGCAATTAGACCAAGCTATAGCCTTAAAACGTTAGAAAATAAAAGATAATTTGATGACGTAAAGTTAAATAGTGTTAAGTGGAAGTATTTGTCGATTATGAAAGTGAAAACGTTTCAAAGATATTAAACTCGCTTTCATTTTTTAAACTTATTCAGTTTAATGAACTTTTTCTTTTAATTATTTCATAATCATAGCTTGGCCTAGTTAAGTGGGATACCCTGTATTTTAGAGAAGCTAAATTAAAAGCTAGTTATTTTAATACTATGCCAACTGAATGAGGATATCTCCCCACTTTACGGTTAAAATTTAGAACACACGGTTCGCAAAGTGTTAATTATACACTTACTTGTTTCAGCCCTAATGCACAATCCATTTGGACCTCTAATTGGTTCATATGTTTCGCTATGTACACGAATAATTGCTAAAGGATGGAATCTTCTTGGTATAAGTAGTGGTACAAAACCGATAGCTCCAGCTTTGCCATCTAGATTTGCTGTAATGTAAAAATTCGGAAAAATTAAAAAAAATCTTTTTTATGTAGTAAAATTTCTACTAAAATTATTGCTGTTACAATTGCTTAAATGTAAACCTTTCTTTTAAATGCAAACAATTTCGTTAAAGTAAACAATAATATTAAAAGTACAGATAATAATTAATATTATAACGAAATTTGGTCAAAAATAAAATTATAAGAGAATTTGATTAAAAATTTCATTGATACTGTAAAAGAATTTAATAAAAAATGTAATTAATATTATAATATAGTATCTTATCAAGAATATAATGGACCACTTCACAAAATTCAACAAACATCACAAGGAACAAAATCTCCAAATCAATAAATAATTCACTTCACTGTAAATAAAATTTATCAACTGAACATTGTAACTTAAATAAACACGATATGAAAATACAAAACAATATCACAAAAGTTCAAGGTTTCAAGGAAAACAGCTCGATACAAATACTTGAATAAAGCAATGTTTAAAAAGCTCAACGAAATAATTAGTTTTTTAATGATTACAATAAAACCTTGATTAAGCGGGACAATCAAAAGATTACGGATAATCAGTTCATGAGGGGAAATATTTAAAAATGTATTTTATTATTATTTGCGGGAGTTCAAAAATGTTTTTCTTCAAATTAGAAAATTATACAACTTATCGGTTGAAAATACTTTAACCAAATTTTCATTGATACTTCGTTGTCTTATCAGTTATGAATTATGGAGAAAAATATTGCGTATACGCATTTAGAAACAAGATTGTAACGAACGTAAGTTGTTGATAAATTAGAAGCCTTGGGACAATTGCGATGCAGTTAATCGAGTATTTCGCGCATAATTAAAGCAACGAATCTTACCAATATTAGCGTTTCCTTCGCTGGATCCGTAAAATTCAGCGACCCTTTTAATGTTGAATCGTGTGACGAACTGGTCCCAAATTTGCGGCCTCATACCGTTTCCAAACATGAGTCTTAATCTATGCGCTCTATCCTGCGGTTTGGGTGGCGCATTTAACAAGTAACGGCACATTTCGCCGATATATTGCGCAGTCTAATAAGTAAAATTATTAATTAGCAAAATTATTTATTCTACAAACACCGTCACTTAACCCATTAATTTCCAGAGGTTGATAGTACATTGGTTTTAAGATAGTAACATTTACTATTAACAAACATACAGAAGTTGATAATATATTGGTTTCAAGATAGTAACATTTACTATTAACAAACATACAGTAATGTAAAAGTGTTTTCGAAACGTTTATTTTACAATAAATAAAGAAATAAATTATATTTCAATTTATGATGGGTTGACTACGAATTCTATCATTAGCAAGTACTATAAACATTTTATTATCAATATTATATTTTTGTGTAAATATATAAACAAAATAGTAAATAAAACTACTTATTTCGATCATGAGAAAATTATAGTTTATATTTACATATATTGTGAACCGTAGATCTTTTCAATGCGTCTGTACAACGTAATAATATGTTTTTCATTCGGTCAAAAATCTCCAATGATTTAATTTCAATGCTTGTATTCTTTATTCCAATTATTATACTGTTTTTATGAAATTTACAAATACTTTTTATATTAATTTTTTACAATTTCAAACTGTACAATTTATAATGTTGAAAAGTTGTATTAAATTAAGACCGAATTACTCGCCAATATGGCGTCATTTCGAATGATAAGGGAAAACATTTTCTGAATATTTTTCAACGCTCTACTGGTAGATAATTATAATTTATCGAGAATTATTTTTCCAGATTTGATAAATCAGAGTACTAAGCACATTAGAATATCTTTAATACATAATAATCACTAATGAAAGTATTACTTATTTCTTTATTTGTTGTATCATACAAAAATTTTTGTCATTTATTGATGGTTAATTATCTTCTTTAATTTGAAAAACTAGATTATCAAGCACGTTAAAATATATTTAATACTCGATAATCCATCTTTAAAAGTCTTTACTTGTATTACGAAGATAAATTCCGAATACCTTTTCATACCTCTGTAAGTTTAAATAAGCTAATGAAGTGAAGTCTGCAAATATTAATAGCACAAGTATTTACTGTAAGTAAATAGCGCAGAAAATAAAAATTTTTTATCAGAAAATGCAACAAATACTTTGGATATTAATGGATTAAGGTAAATTTCGTTATACATTTATTAATCTCGCGGAAAAATGGTATACTTTTTGCGATCCAATTATACTGCTTTGAAAGAAATTAGATTTAATGTAAGAAATTAAACTACTTAGGACAATATGAATATCTTATCATTAACAATATGATGACATTAGTAAATGAAACTATCTATATCCTTCCCTCCTACCGCAATTAACGTAAAATGTTATGTATGCTGAAATAAAATACTTTCGTTGAAATGTTTATGATCGTATTAAATTACTGATTTATCAGGTATCAGTAGTTCTTTACAAAATTTAATACATGTGCGATTACAATAATCCATATAACTTTCGTGGCACATAAGGTGAAGTGGGGTAAGTTCGTAAACGGGGCAAGCGCGTATACAGGCGGCTATTTTTATTACAATATGAGCGAAATTTCTCCATTTAATATGTTTGTTTCCCTGTTTTGTTTCACTATATCCCCCTTTATATTTCATCTAAGAGTACTTGTTTGCAGTATAGAGTACTTGCATAATGCAGTAAAAAGCATTTTATAGCAGAGTTGTTAATAATTCTGCTCTTGCCCCATTGCGCATGAAATAAAGTTTCAAAGTGTTTAACTTCAAGTTACGCTCTTACTTCATTTTCGGAGAAAGTGCAAAGTAGTTGACATTTTAAACAATTTCCTATCAAAATCAAAATGTACAAGGAAAATTAAGGTTCTAGTTAATATTAATTAAATAGTAGTAATTGTGCAAAGCGTTCGATACCGACAGCGTTAAGTATTTACATAGCAGATTAGAAATATTTACGTTGAAATCCCAACTTTCAAAAACTAGTCTGCACTTACCCCACTTCACCTTAATCATTATTTCGTGGCATATCATGAATGGTGTATGTTTGATATTTAGAGTGCGTTTGAATAATTTGATGAAAGCTTCCTAATTTAACAATGAAAAAAATAGAAAAAATAGAAAAAAATACGGGAAGTATGATGAATATTCCTCCATTTAAATATGAAGTTAGTTTAGATTTAAGCATGTTTGTAACACAATTGAAATTCCAGGTGGCATGGAATGTATCAATAGAAATACTATCCATTTAATTAACTAAATACAGCATGATAAAATCATTTCATAAACACTGTAATTTCATAACAGATGTATGTATCGCCACAAACGAACTATTAATATTATTAATAGTACATATTACACGAATTATTAATATGTACACTGTTTCAGTCAGACTATTTGAATTTAAATGAAATGTTCTAATAATTTATTTGTCAGGTGCGTCAGAACTAATTATCCAATGCTTCAATTTTAACATAAATAATGAGTGTTAAATGTCAATTTTGTGTTCAGTGATCCTTGACTATGTAAATTATAATTGGACATAACTTTAAATTGCAACGTATTAAAAATTTGAATAATATTTGTCATGTTTCAACTCTGAGTGCGTCATGAGTCAGTCTTGTCAAAGTACGCCAAAGGGCTAATGCTTCAAAAATTAAAGTTCTTAAAACTTCGTTAGTTGCGCATATAACTGGCAATCTCATGGTTTACCATTAAAAAAAAAATTATAGCTACAACGTTGTAGAGCTTTGACATCGCAAACTTGTCTGAATTTCTTGTGAAAAAAATTTGTGCATGTGTTTTCCAAATTATAATACAATCTGATCGAAGCTACTTATAACAACTCTGTTTCTCAAAAATATTTTTGTAAATAGTGTCAAGTCATTAGCAAGTGACACTCAAAATTTATAATTTAAAAAATAAATCCACAATCAAACAAGAAAGGTACGATGAAGTTAAAATAATAAAGCATATACATACTATTACGTGTTTGTTAAGAGTCTTTGTAAATATGCCGCAAAATTTTGTTGATAGAGTTTAACTTGTATTAGTAAACTAATTTACTAAAAATATTTTAAGTCACAATTATTCAAAAGATTACATGAAATTAGGTTGTATTATTGTTATGAGACTTGCTACCTTAGCGCGACTGAAAGTTAATATTTCCAATAAAGGTTTATTTAATTATAAAATTAAAATTCAGATATTGCATTACCACTATTAGAAAGATTTGAATAGAACTATTAGTACTAAAGAACTTATAGAGAAACATATGTTTAACGTATGAATGAATGTGAGAGTGGAATAATGAGAGAACGCTGCATGCACATTAGTATAAATGTATGTGTCGTTACTGTGTATCGTCGTGGTCTTATATAATACGTATTCATTATGAATTGTTTAGTTAGGGAATAACCGACGCGAAATAACATAAGTTGACTAATACAGTATTACATAAGAATTTGTGAATTCAGGAATTTGATAAATTTAGAAATCTAGAAATTTGAAGAGTTTGAAAACCTGGAAAATTAGGGAATTTGAGAATTTGGGAAAAGGCAATTTTAACATTAGCAAATTTGCAAATTTAAGAATTTAAAAATTTGGAAATTTATAATCGTGGAAATTTGTGCTTTTAGAAATTTGAACGTTAGAGATACAGGAGTTTTTAAATTTAAAGATTTGGAAACTTGGAGATATAGAAACTTTTACAAAATTTAGTGATTCATGGATAAATATTTAGCAATTTTGAAGATGGAAAATTTTGAAATTTACAATGTTTTTAAATTTGGAAGTTTGAAAATTTGAAGACTTGGAAATCTGAGAAAGCGAATATTTAAGAAACTGGAAATTTATGGATTTTTATAAAATTTGAAGATTTAATAAAAAATTTGGTAATCGAGATACTTGAAAATTTACATATTCAGAGTATTTGGAAATTTAGATGAGAAATTTGGAATTTTCAAAATTTTATAATTTAAAATTCAAGGATTTAATAATTTGAACTTAGAAGATTTGACGATTTGAGAAACTAAAAATTTAGAAAATTGGTGGCTGCGATTTTAGAAGTTTGAAAATTTGAAGATTACCGAAAGAGAAACTCTCCCACTCGACAATATAACGAAAGCCTACTGTACTTCTACTGTGTTTATCAATACATCGACGTTTCAAGGTTTCGCTCGTAAAACCACGTTATTTATAAAATGTCCTATTGATTTTAACGAGATTATTATAAAATTTGTAAACCACCTACGGTACAATTATACTTGATGCAGTCCGTCCAATAAGCCGAGACGGAAAATTTGGCTCTGAGGACGTTTGGTATACCTTTGAGGATCGCAAAACCTACTCCAATCATTCCACCAGCGGTATGGTACAGTGGATTTGGATTGTACAGGATATCGTTTGATTTTATTCCTAGCAAACGGAATGGCATCTCGACTAGCAAGTACCTGTAACAACAAAAATTATTCTTTTAGCATTTTCATATATACAATCGTCGCTTAATTTGCGCAAATCTTTTTTTCACTCCATAAATTATAACAGTATTTAACCAGTTAATTGCGGCGATCTTTTTGCAAAGCGCGCATCAGTGTGTATCGCGATAATCAAGCGAGAGTTAGCTCTCAAGAATTTATGAATCCATCTCAAATCATTTACACTTTTTATTTGTTTATTTTATTTCGTTTTGACCTCTAAACATTTTAAACATATTACAATTTACGAATATAATTTAGTTTTCGCCAAAATTACAATTTAAATATCAAATTGTAACAAAATTTTACGCATGACGACTATATTCCACATCTCCATGACGGATATAGTCGTCAAACACACATAACTGGTTAATTTACGTGAATCTCTTTTTCACTTGATAAATTATAGCAGTATTTAAGCGATAACTTTTATGCGTAGTTTGAAGGATCAACTCTCAGCAAATATTATTTTTGGAAACTTTTAGGACCTCTGGCGGAAAATTGATAAATACAAAGCTTATTAATATTTCGCCAAAGTTGTTAAAAATCATAATACAGACTGTTCAATCACCATAGTTGAGCTTTAATATACACTATACACGACCAGAAGATCTATTTTTATCAAGGTTTTAAAAGTAACAAGTGCATACAGTAACGGTGATTTTGTGAGTTTATACGGTCTTGTTGAAAAGTCCTGTACGAGTCTATAAGATTTTCAATGAATATCAGTTTTATGAAAGCTTAGTAAAAGATTCAGAACAAATCACATGAAAAAATGACAGAAACAATGAAAACTGTGTTGAACTTTCAAAAGTTGGAAAAGTCGGAAGTTTTCAAAATTAAGAAATATACATGTACATTTTGTAATTTGCAGTTTTTAAATCTGGATTTAATAATTGAAAAATGTGGAAATGCAGAAGTATATAAATTTCTAATTTTTCAATTTTTAAATCTGAAAATTTCAAATTTTCTAATCACTAATTTTGATAATTTAATAATCTAATAATTTAGTCAATTTTTAATTTGGAAATTTTATAATTTGTTAATGTAGAAATTAAGTGATCTAATTTTGAAGGTATAGAAATATAGAAATATAGGAATTCTAAGGTCTCAAATAAATAAATTAATAAACTTAAAATTTTTAATTTATAAAATTTAGAAATATATAAATTTGAATTTCCAAATTTTTCAATTTCCAAGTTTAAAAATTTCAGAATTTAATAATTTGATAATATGGACATTACCAAATTAAAAAATTTAGTAACTTGAAAAGATCAAAAATATTTTAAACTGACATTTCGAAATGTCAGTGATAAATGTGTGACACACGAGTGCTAAAAAACTGTTAAATGTTATTGACGCAAACGATACATTATCGAACACGCATGAAGTTTTTTCATGAAACCAAATTCATTTTATGTATAAATAACAATAATTATAAATCAATCTGACGATAAATCGAACTGGTAAATAATAATTATAAATCATTTTAATTCGACATACAAAATGAGTATCGAAAATATGAAAAACATATAATTTGCGTTGATAAAGTTGAAAAATAATTTTTTAGTTCATTTTATTTTTTACTTTTAACTGACATCAATAACATTATAACTTTATACTATGTAATAATTATTCGTTAATTGCAGAAATAGTATACATATACAAATTCCAATTAAAAATTAAATCTACTCCAAATATTAATTTATAACATGGCAACTTTTTTCACTCATGTTTACATTTAAATCCAATACGTTTCACGTTTTTTACTCAATTTCACGTATAAAGAAAGTGCATTCAGAAAGGAATTAGGTAGATTCTTCATTTTTTCACCGTCGTAAATTCCGGTGAACTTTGACTGAATTATCGTAATTTTCTACTAAAATCAGAAAATTACCATATTGCTCTGCAAACGATTAAATTAACATATCAACATCATTAATGGTCTCTGTCACTTGCCTTTTTGCGTTTTAATAATTTACAGAGCAACAAAATCAATTCTTTGGCTTCGAGACAAAGTTACGTTAACAGTGAGGTAACACACGTCTATAATACGTCTATATTACGTAGCAGTAACGTCAAATTCTGCACACTTTCTCCTAGAAGTTTTGAAATATTTTTATTTCCTCGTGAAAGGTAGAGTGTGTCGAATTGAAAGTTGTTATCGTAGGGAGATCATGTTATCAGTAAAACAGACATAATGCAAGCAGACAGGAAGCAGACACGGGTAAAGCGACTAAATTTACATGTAATCTCATTCTGAACGACTCGTAAGGCTTTCCTGAGCGGATTATAGATCATTTATACGTTCAGCAACCAGATAATTCGCACTGTTCATAGAATAGGGTGTAACAGTAGATAAAAATTTAAAAAAAAATTTGATGTAACTGTCCATAGTCATAACGAGAGGATTTTCTTTTTCAATGAATTGAAATAACAAATTCAGACACCAATAACAAAATATCTTTCAATTAAATCGATTAAAAATTGGGAAATTATTGTAAGAAGTGATTTTGTTTAAAAAAAAACTGAGAAATGTGCCTTTATTTTTAAAGTAAGGCAAATCTACTTTTTGTTAATATGAGGTATTTAACAGTTTGTATTTCAATAAATTTAAAAATCATTTGTGAGCACTAGTAGACAAATTGTTTGTATTTTGTAGCGTTAAAATAATGTATGTTTATTATCTAATAGCGTTTAACACATTGACTGCCACACTGAAACAATTAAAAATTGCAGCCAATACTGTTTTAATATTTAATAAATTTTACCAAATATTTTCACAGTATCTTGTTACATTTATTTTCTATAGATCTATGGAATTAATGCGAGAATTTTTTATGAGGAAAGTGAACAAATTTTTAATAATACTCATGTTAGATTAGTTTAGCAACTTAAGTGTCGCCCATATATGTGTGAGTGGCAGTCAACGTGTTAAAGTGCTACTTAAAGAAAAGGTTTTACTAAACCCAAATACCTCACTTTCAAAATTAATGAATTACTCTAATCGTCTATTAAACAGCTAATATTTCAGTTGTTCAGTCATTTTTTTTCTAAATTTTTTTGAATCATTTTTGTCCGAATTGTCATATTCAGATCCGACTTCAAGATTCTTCTTCCATTATTAATTCTCATGTTCCAGTTCTGACATTCCTGATCATTCGGGTCACCCGATTTTTTCGTAAACGCGACATTTTCGGGACAGAAGTTATACAGTTTTATGTGACATATCCGCTAGTAGTATTAGTATGACCTGGAATAGCGTTGTTAAGGTCACGCGAAAGTCACATTTAATGTTTTTAATAAAATCCTCCTTTTCTAACAACATATTTTTTCTTTAAGCACTTTACGAATTAGAGAATTTGGTGACCACCTTATAAGGTGAAGTGGGGTAAGTGCAGACTGGTTTTTGAAAATTTGGGATTTAAACGTAAATATTTCTAGTCTGCTATGTAAATACTTAACGCTGTCGGTATCGAACGTTTTGCACAATTACTACTATTTAATTAATATTAACTAGAACCTTAATTTTCCTTGTACATTTTGATTTTGATAGGAAATTGTTTAAAATGTCAACTACTCTGTACTTTCCTCGAAAATGAAGTAAGAGCGTAACTTGAAGTTAAACACTTTGAAACTTTATTTCATGCGCAATGGGGCAAGAGCAGAATTGTTAACAACTCTGCTATAAAATGCTTTTTACTGCATTATGCAAGTACTCTATACTGCAAACAAGTACTCTTAGATGAAATATAAAGGGGGATATAGTGAAACAAAACAGGGAAACAAACATATTAAATGGAGAAATTTCATATTGTAATAAAAATAGCCTGTATACGCACTTGCCCCGTTTACGAACTTACCCCACTTTACGAATTTTTGTTTCATCTTTACATGGACTTTTGCGAATTCGTGAAAATTATTATAATATTGAAGAAAAAATCTTTTAGTTCCAATTACCAATTGTAAAATTGTTCGTTGCCTCCATGCATAAAGATATACTGCACTACGGTAAGGAGGTGCAGAAGCTTAATAAGAATCGTAACAACAAAGTTGAGAACCGCTAGGTTTTAGACCCGATCGAAGCCAATCGATTCGTCCGGTCATTAAACGGTTTATGATCATTACTATATGGCACATGTGTTCCTCCAACTGATCGATCTCACCGAAATTCGTTTGCTCTTGCGTCATTGTCACTTTTCTGCGTATTTCGAACCAGTTACTATGGAAATACACCCTATCGCCACGTACTACCTGCTGTTTGCTTGTATTATACCTTCTTTTATACGGAGTAGGGAGTAAGAATAGAGTGAGTGGAGGTGTGATGACGTATTTTTAAGAAAATTTGATGTAAACTATAGATTTAATCGGTATCTAAAATACAAAAATGTATTTGCAAAGGTAAATACATATGAAATTTTACTGCCTAGGTAAGGTACAGAAATAGTCGTAGATTTTATAAAAAAAGAAATAAATGAATTAATGGTATCCAGGATATTTATGTGATGCAAAGAGCTATCTAACACCATTTATGAAATGCGATAATTTAAAAATTTGGAAAAGTTGTAGAAGTTAGAGATTTGGGAACATTGGAATCTGGAAAACTTAGAAATTTAAAACATTGGAAATTGAAGTGTTTCAAGTTTTGGAAATTTGAGAGCTTGACTACTTGGAAATTGGGGAGAATCGAGTACTTGATAATGTGACCTTTTGGTCATTTGGAAAGTTAATGATTTAAAAAACATATAATTGGGAATTGAAGGAATTGGGAATTTGATTATTTAGAAATTTATCAATTTTGTAATTTTACAATTTTATAATTTGGGAATCTGGAAATTTGGGGTTAGACAATTTGGAAATCTAGGAATATAGAATTTAAAAATTTAAGAATTTGGCAATTTAATGATTTGAAATTTATGGATTTTATAATTTGGAAGTCTTAAACTTGAAAATTTGTACTGTTGCAAAGTTAAGAA